TTCTTTTCTTGTTCTTGAACCCAGAAATCCCCCCCCCCCTCTGCTGGAAATTCCAGATCTGCTCTGCTCCTCCCCTGCAGCCGGCAAGAGCCCCAGCCACCGCCACCCATTTCCGGCCGGGAACACCGGCAAAGCTTGGGGATTTCTCCCTATTTTCTTGTTCTAGAACAGCCACTAAACCAGAATTCCAGATCTGTTCTGCTCTGCGTCGTCCTCCCTTTGCTGTCCGCGAGTTCTGCTATGTGGGTTTGAGTTTCTGGGCATTTTTCGGGTAAGCCACAGCCATAAACTTCATCTTTCAGCTTGATTTAGGCTGGGTTTACCTTAATTGCTTTATTCCCTTCCAATGTTGAGGTAGCCGTGAGTTTCCCCTGCAGATGCCGCCGGCTTCTTCTCCCTGCCAGCTCCGGTTTGCTTGCTGGAATTCTGGTAAGTTGCCGGCTCTTCCAAGTCCAATTTATCCATGTAATTGTTGCCTTGTGTGTGTCCAAATTGTGCCGGAAAAGGGGATAAATTCCGGTAGCATTTAGCAGCCCTTTAAATGTGTTTTGTTGTTTAAACTATGTGGGAATTAGCTTGATTAATTGCTGTGATGTTCTGTATGCATAGCCGGGCTTTAGTGCTGTTTTGCCAAGCTCGGTTTCTCCATTTTGTCCGTTGAAAGTTTCCTGTTGAAATGGAGGAGTTTTGGCAGCTTTAAAACATGGGTTTTAAGCTTGCTTAACGTAGAAAATTAGCTTGAATTGGGTTGTGATTTTGGGAGAGAAAATCCCGTGAAATTAGCTAGTGTTTTGCCCAAATTTTTGAAGTTACCGTCACTGTTCACTGCGAATCACTGTTCACGGGGTACTGTTCACGTGTACTGTTCATAGGCACTGTTTACACACCGAGGGTTAACGATTAACGGGGATTTAAAGGTTTAGTTTGTGATATAAGAATGAATTTGGAGATGTCCGGTTATGGGGAGATTGATAGAAATAGCACTATGATTGGGGGTAGTGTTGATGATGATTTCAGTTTGAATTTATGGTAGTGCGATATTAATTCTTGGAATATTGTGATTAGGTTTTGATCGTTCTGTCACCGTAGCACTTGGGTTAGCCTTCTGTTCTGTGCGAGTGAGGTAAGTAAATTATGGTAAAGCCCTTCGATTTTAAAGCATGTTTTAAAACTGTTTTTGAGATGGTGGCAAGGTAAAGTGATTTTAAATTGATTTTATCAGCATTTGAGTGTGATTAAACTGAAATGAAAATTGTGATGATTTTTATGAAAATTATTGTTTTTCTGAAATTGAGCATGATTGAAATGAAAATGAGAATTTCAATTGTTTTTCTGGAGTTGAGCATGCCTATTTGGAAATTGACTGAACTGTTTGATGAACTGAGAATTTTGTGAATATTGAGTTTTCTGTTAAATCCATGCTCACATGGAAATTTTTCGATTTGTTCTGAAATTCGAGATTGATTGTGAAATTCGGGTTTTTCTGTAAACTCTGCATGGTTTTGTCTTGGATATAGTCATTATTACTGATTACTGTGCCTGCTAGTGGGAGGTTTATAAACGCTAGTACATGTCGACATGTTTACTGATAGAACCGGTTCACCCTACCAATGGGGTTAAACATTGGTAATTACTGTCGCTTGCCAGTGGGAGTTGTAAACACTGGCACCATTACTGACGCCTGCCAGTGGGAGTTGTTAAACACTGGCACTTCTGTAACCTTGCCTATGGGGTTAAACATTGGCAACTACTGTGCCTGCCAGTGGGAGGTTTATAAACGCTAGCCATGACTTATAGATGAGACTACTGAACTGAGTTTTCTTCTGCATTAACGGTTTGTTAGGAAACGTTTTGTTATTGAACTAAATCTGATTTTGCATTGACGGTTTTGTGATTGAACGTTTTGCTATTGAACCAAATTTGATTTTCGCATTAACGGTTTATCAGTGAAAGTTCTGTTATACTTACATGGTTTATCTAGCATGCTTAAAAGTTTTACCCAAGGGCTATCCATATTTACTTACTGAGTTATCTCATAGTTTTCCTTGTCCACCATTTCAGGAAGCGATACCGAGGACGGGGAAACCGAGGAGAGTGACGAGTTAGAAGGCTAGCCATCTGAAATTTGATATAGATTTTAGATACAGATTATGATCTTATAAGCTAGATTGTAATTGGAGGTTTATAGCTTCATTTAATGGGTTGTTAGTTTATAAGAGATTTGATTTGGAGATTTGAGTTTAAGGTATGTTGGACATAAAATTATTTTGAGATGATTGATTTGAGTTATTGGATTGTCAGATGTGATTTGGATAAGTTCCGAGCCTTGTGCACTTGTGGGACTCGTCTCACGAGTGCACGGCGTCTGTCACGTCCCCGGATTTGGGTTCTGGGGCTTGACGAAGGGTATGTTTGGTATAACAGTTAAAAGTCAATGGATAACATATAGCAGATAGTGGAAAGCATTAGTGGATAGCGAGTAGCGAATAGCAGATAACAGAAAGTGGGTAATGGATAGTACATAATGCATTCAATAGATATAATTGTTTGGTTATACAATAGTTAACAGTCGTTGTTTAATATTAAATTACTAATAAAAACATGTTTAAAAATAATTAAGTGTATTTTTTTCTAAATATTTATTATTTATTATTAAAATTATTAATTTTATAAAAATAATAATAAGAAAATAAATAAATAAAATTAATTATAATAATGTAATTACACACTCATTTTTATTTTTAACAAAGAAAAAATTATATTATTTTTAAATAAAAAATAATCATTTTGTCTAATTAGCAAATTTTGTTTTTAAGATAATATATTTTTTAATGATAAATGAGTGCAAAAAATAAAAATATTATAATCACTTAATGTGATTAAAAGTAAAAAAAAAATTGAAACTTAGTAGATAAATATTAATTAAAAACTATGATAAAAAATTAAAAAGGATAAATTTGTCAATAAAATTAGAAAAGAAATTATAATCTGCTAGCGATTTGATACAAAAACTGCCTAAACTAATTTTTTCAATCTGCTAGTAGTTTAAACCCTAACTGCTATCCGCTAATCCCAAATTGTTAAATAAAAATTTTTATCAAACATCCTATTTGTATCAATTTTGAAATATATAGAGTTACCAAACACTTATATTTAGCGGTTTAGGCAAAACCGCTAACCGTTACCTCAAATTCACTATACCAAACAGGCCTGAAGAAACACAAGAGATCATTGAAAACTTAAAATAGTAGTGTTGATATTATAGTGAAAGATCAAAGCTATAATAGTGAACAGCTTGTAGAAAAAGAGATTGACTACTATGGAGTATTAATTAACACCATTGAATTGAATTACTATAGTATGTATAAGTTGTGCTTTTTAGATGTGATTGGGTAGATATTAATTGAGGTTGCATAGAGGATAATCTTGACTTCACTTGTGTAAACTTCTCACATCTTACCCATAAAGGCAACAATTTACTCGACGATCTGTTCATTTTAGCATTACAAGCTAGAAAAGTCTACCATGTTGAAGATGAAAGGGACAATGGTTGGCTTATTGTCAAGCTTGCTAAATTAAGATATGTTTTTGACATGAGGGTACAACACAATAGTCTATCAATGGGGGATAACATTAAAGATATGACTTAGGTTAGATCTGATATTGATGAAGATGAAGATGGAGTTGATGTCATGCCAAAAATGGAGGAAGAGGAAGTGGGAGACGATGAATTGGTTCTAGAAGATTGAATAATGATCATTTTTAGTTATATAAAAAAAGGGATTTTTTTTTTATCTTTTTAATGAATTGATATGTTTGTTAATATTGAAATTGAAACCGCTTAAAAAAAACCTTATTGAGACTAAATGCCTTATATTTGTTGAGCTCCTTGCTATTTTACAATGATTCTTGTCTTAATGTTTGTTTGTTGAAGTATGGATTTATACAGTTGATGTTGATTTCAATAACTTTTAAAGGAAAATTGAATGTTAGAGAAGAATTATAATGTATATATAGACATAAAAGATTAGATTTTTATTAATTAATTATTTTTATTTTAATAACTAAATCTAATTCAAAAATTCAGTTTTGATTACCAAAAATTAGATTTTTTTAAAAAAATATGATTCATTCCATTAACAAATGTATTTTAATCTTTTTGAGCAAAAATAAGTTCTTTTATCATTAATCAAAGTGAAATATTTCAATTAATTACAATTTTAACTGAATTAATTAAAAATTTTTATTTTAAATGTCAAGTGATTTGGAATTGAATAAAGTACATTCACCTCTAATGATGAAAAAATAGAGAAAAAATTGTATAGAGAGAATTTTGATTGTTATTTTTTAATTTTATGGTAATTTATTTAA